CCATTATGATATGCTACTAATGAGTCTTCTGGACATGTGATTGTGTGTTCCTTTCTTTTTTTTTTTTTTTTCTTTCTTTTTTTTTTTTTTGGCCAAGGGTACTAGTGTTGCATAAATGTAAGTAACTATAGTTTGTTTTTTTCATGTCTTGCCATTGGGATTTAAATTATGCCAACTACATTCTCCATCTTGGGGAAAAATTTCCATACCTACCTTTTGACTTGGTTACAGACTGGACCCATGTCTACCGATCTCATAAATTGTGGTTTTTGCTCTATAAAATATTGAGTAATATTCAATATTTAATAAATGAACAAGGATTGATATATCTGTCTATATTCTGAGATGAAGTAATATGATTATTTTCATTATTCGGACTGTTATCCTCATCTTAATTGCCATATTCACAATGTTTCAGCCATTGTATACTCCAGCCTTCTTCAGGTGATTAGAATTTTGAAGCAAACCCTTTATTTAGTCCACTGGGTTAGATTGTTTCAGAGGCATGGGACGTGGAACTAGAATAATCTACCCTGATGGCTGAAATAATGGGTTCAGTTTGAAATTCCAGTCACCTGAAGAAGGCCAGAGCACACGTCTGAAATGTTGTGAATATGGCAATGATGATGAGAATAACTGCCCGAATAATGTAAATAAGGATTGATATGTCATAAAGCTAAGCAAATAGCCAAATGCTGTTTGTTTTTTTGTTTTTTTTTTGTTTTTTTGTTTTTTACCCATTTTCCAAGTCAGTAATCCTAACCCTACTTTGATGTGGGTAGCCAAATTGAGCTATCCAGTAATACAAACTTGGTTAAATTTGGAATTATTTTATTAGTTACCCAAATTAGAACAGCTTATTTTATCTCAAAAAATTGAAAGTCATACAAAATTTAGTATCAAACTGATCTGGCAAACATCACCTGGAACATTGCAGAGTTTTAGAAGGTGACTAAAGAACCGTTTTGTTTGAAATAAAATCATATATTGATAACTTGAATACAATTCAACTGTCCAGCCAAAGATAACATGATGCTACTACTGTAAGATGAATTTGCTACTAAAGAGCTATCACAGATTTTACAAGCATAAAATGGACCTGAAAGTGAAGGCATTTGGTTTGGAACTGGTGTATTTTAAGGAATATAACACTTCTCTTCCTTTGTTTCCCAAAAAAAGCAAAGCTAAAAGAATAATATAGCTTTAATATAAAGTTAATAATATCTCTGGTAAATGTTTATCTAGCTGCTATAGACTACCAGTAGTTGCACAATGATCTGTTGCAAAGTTGATGATTTAATGTTGCAATATCAGTTCTTAGCTGATATCTTTTGTTTTAAAGAAACATCTGTAGGATTTTACAGAAATCATTTTTAACAGTTATCATCTTAATAAAGAAGGTCACCTGAGTGAAGTGGATCTCAAGGACCATGTCAAATGACCCTGACAAAAAAGGCTAGCAGGCTACAATATACTTGATGAATTACTTTTTTAGACAAAAGCTGACAAAAAAGGCTGGTTAACTATAAGACTGTGGTCCCTAGCAGCCTAAAAGACATAGACTGCTCGATTGGCATGTAAAAAAAGAAAAGAAGGGGACATGGCTGTTAGGCTGTTCACCCTTGCTCGCCTACAGTAGAAGGTTGCAACAGAATAAAAATTTGCCAGCTGCTACAATTTGGTCTCCTGGTTTTATTTTGTGTGTAACAATCTGACCAAAGAATTATTTTTAATGTATTAAGCCAGAAGCATTCAACTGGAAGAAGCTGCACCCTGAGAATGACCCTGGTGTCTGGTCTGAGTTGCAATGCTATACCAACAAAGGTATTTCAGAACAAAATTGGGGTCATTTGGAGAAGTCCGTCAGACTGAAAATATTTCAATATTCCTCATACTATAATAAATGCAGACTGTCTTGGGGGTTGGTATGTCATCAAAGAGGGTAGTTTTATTGGGGTGGGGGGTAAATTTGTGATATGAAGCTTGAATTTTGGGGTTTGACATTTCAAACCTTTAAACAATTCCCATATAAATGTCAATGAACATGAAAACTGATATTTCCTAAGATGGTGATAAAACCTTTCTCTTTTTATGATGACTATTGATTGGATGTAAATTTTGAGCCAATTTGTAAATAACTAAAGTTTTCAATTATCAATTATTGTTAACAACAATAGACTCATTATGTTTTTGTAGACGTTCTATTTGGTATCAATTTAAATTTGAAGAGTGTGAAGGAAGGGCAAAAACAATAGATTCATTCCCTAATTACTTATTGAATTTATCCAGAAAAAAAAATTGAACTTGAAATTTTTTCATGTGGATGACTCTGATCAAATATGATGGATCTTGTATCTCACTTTCCGATTCTGTTGAAATTGGAACCTGATGCAAATGGATTGGTTTCAACTCAAAGAATTGAACTCAAAGAATTAAACTTTGGTCAAGATTAACAGACAAGACAGTCTCGTTTCCACCCTGTTTCAAAATTAAGAACGAAGTTCCTTATTTAAGCATTTTTTTTTTTTTTTTAATCATTTCACCACAAGCACGCATGGTGTTACAGATAGTGGAAGAGAATGAGATGACTGAGAATGGGGAGGATTGAGGAAAGGACAAAAAAGGAACAGGATTCAAGAAGACAGGTGTAAAATGTGAGAAAAGAAACTGTTAGCATAGGAGTAGTGGCTATGTCTATTTCAACAGTAAAACAGTGGGACCTTATTGCCAATCTAGTATCACTAGAACACAAGGGGTTACAGGGATTAAAAAGAATGAGATGACTGAAAATGGGGAGGGTTGAGGAAAGAATAAAAAGGGAACAGGGTTTAAGAAAACAAAAGATAATGATTGAAATTGCATTTAAATTTTTGAAAGTTGTAGTTTTCATGGAAACAAGAAAATGAAGTGAGAGAAATTAAACTGTTAGAGTAGAAGTGACTGCTACATTTAGCTATTTTCACAGTAAAATGGTGAGATCAAGTTGTCAGTCTAATAGTATGCTTACAATCATGTAATTGGATCACCAGTTGGGGGGAGGAGCTCACTAGAGCAGTTGCCATGAAAATATCTGTTGAAAAGACAGAGGGAAGAAGAAACATTGTTCCCCATGTGTTTCCTTTTCTAGCTACATTAAACCTCTTCAGTCTTTTGAACAGGAGTAGAGGTTTATCCCTTGTTTCCTGTTTAGGATTGGGTGTCCAGTTCATCCATAAGCCTTTTCATTCTCTTTTACTCCCTGGAACTCCTTTGCTTCTTAGTAGCATTATTGCTTTACTAGGGGTGACTTGATGAAAAAAAAAAATAATAGTTCATTGTGTAATTTTCTAGTTCAACATAGCAAAAATGGTTCATTTTGTTAAAAAAAGGTTGATAGGTGATGAAAAGTAGATATTTTACAATAGTGTGAAATATGCTTGTAGGACATGCAAAAGGAATCACCAATGATCGTGAGCTGGTCTTTCTACAAATAAGGTTTGATTCAAAGGCAGTTTTCAACTAGTCTTCTAGAATAGTGATAGATATTGACAAGTACTGATCCTAGTTAGATCAAAAAGTGCTCAATGGAAAGCATCCATAATTCCATTACAATAACACTGACATGCATATTAACTTCTGAAGCTTATGGCCATATCGCATAGAAACACCAGTTCCTGTACAATCACCAAAATTAAGCAACATTGAGCCTGGTCAGTATCTAGATGGGTTACCACTTACGAATGCCAGGTCTTGCAAGTTTGGATGTCCAGGCAGTGTAATGTATAATGACTTGGAATTGTAAATCAGAGGGTGGAGTTCAAATTCCATTCAGGTTTGTTATATTCACTTATGTGCAAATACTCTTGGGAAAGGTATGAATTCACCTCTTCTTTCTGCCCCAGCTATGGGTTAATCAGTAATATTATCTCTTAAAAAAAACTTTTAACCTAAAAATATTGTCTAGCTTTAAATAACCTGCAATGGGTTGATAATCCATAAAAACAAATTGATCTTTGTGGAAGTCTCTTGAGTGCTTCCCTGAAGACTTTAATCTTGACCTCTTCAACTTAATTGTCAATCATTATCTATCCTCTGACAACAACACTAAACAAATGTGTGTGCATGCATATACATATATACACATGCTATATATATATATATATATATATATATATATATATATATATATATATACACACACACACACACACACCACACACACACACACAATCGTTATCCACACAGACTGTATCACAACTCATCCAATTGCTTCAAGGTGGGACTGAAACCAACTGATTTGTCATCAGTCAGATTCTAACCCATATGCTATCAATGCCAAGCAGAGAGAGCCAAATTTTTGTATATTTTTTTTCATAAATATGCCAGGAACCTAGAGAACTCAATTCAACTTGCAGAGTCTTGCATTATCAGCAGTAACAGTGACTGTTTATAAGTATATATAAGTTAAAGATATGCTATATCTATGGATTAAAGGAATAGACTGTATGATATAAATAGAAGATTTACATACAGCCTGAAGATTGCATTTAAGCATGAAACGGACTGTTGCCACTGGGTGTTGACGTCAATGTCCACTTTATATATGAGGGTAATTTAAAAGGTAATGCAATTTGTTTTATCATACAAAAAAATAAGAAACACAGTCACGCATCATAAGTCAAGATATAGCTATACAAGTTCACATCCCTAATTCTCAACATAGTTACCACCACTTTCAATAACTCCGTTCCACCTCTGAATCTCTTTCAATGATGGTGTTCCGCCTCTGAATCTCTTTCAATGACGGTGTTCCACCCCCAGATCTCTTTCAGTGACGGTGTTCTGCCCTTGAATCTCTTTCAGTGACGGCGTTCCATCCTCCTGATCTCTTTCAGTGACGGCGTTCCATCCTCCTGATCTCTTTCAGTGACGGCGTTCCATCCTCCTGATCTCTTTCAGTGACGGCGTTCCATCCTCCTGATCTCTTTCAATGACGGCGTTCCACCTACGGATCTCTTTCAATGACACCGTTCCACCTACGGATCTCTTTCAATGACAGTGTTATTTCCCTTTTTCGTATTTTTCCCTCTCTCTCTCCTTCCCTCTCCCTCTCTCTCCTTCCCTCTCCCTCTCTCTCTTCCTCTCCCTCTCTCTCTTCCCTCTCCCCTCTCTCTCCTTCCCTCTCCCTCTCTCCTTCCCTCCCCTCTCTCCTTCCTCTCCCTCTCTCCTTCCTCTCCCTCTCTCCTTCCTCTCTCCTTCCTCTCTCCTTCCCTCTCTCCCTTCCCTCTCCTTCCCCTCTCCTTCCCTCTCTCCTCTCCCTCTCCCTCTCTCCCTCTCTCCCCTCTCCCTCCCCTCCTCTCCTCTCTCCCCTCTCTCCTCTCTGCTCTCTCCCTCTCCCTCTCCCTCCCCTCCCTCCCCTCTCCCTCTCCCCTCTCCCCTCTCCCCCTCTCCTCTCTCTCTCCCTTCCCTCTCTCTCTCTCTCCCTCCCCCTCTCTCTCTCTCCCCCTCTCTCTCTCTCCCTCTCTCTCTCTCTCCTCCCTCTCCCTCTCTCTCTCCTTCCCTCTCTCCTTCCCCTCTCCCTTCTCTCCCTTCCCTCTCTCTCCTTCTCTCTCTCTCCCTCTCTCCTCTCTCTCTCCTTCCTCTCTCTCTCTCCCTCTCTCTCTCCTTCCTCTCTCTCTCCCCCCCTCTCTCTCTGTTTATTGTTGTTTAATGTATTTGCATAAATCCATTTGGTGGAGAGGTTTGTGTTCAGTATTTCATTTTCAGTGACAACCTTCTCCTTCCTCAGAATCGTTCATGGCTTGATTAATACAGTCTGCTCAGGGAATGTCAATATCTTATGCAAAAGCATATTATTTACTGGCTGGGTCCTTTGTACCATCTGTGACGCATTTGCCTGTTTTTACAAGACCTTCACCTCTTGTCTCCACTCAGGCCACTTGCTTACTTCAACTTACCTGTTGGCTATAAACTTGTCTTTTCACTTACACGTGATCAGACCATACATAGATTTGCATACATGTACATATGCCATGGAGACAGCCGGCCATATATGCCACCAATATGTCTCAAGAGAAAATCTACGATCAATAAAATAAATTTAAATTGGCTTTTCCTTTTTCTTGAGCTGTAGATAGCATCTTATAAATGCTCTTTAAGTTGTGTGTGTGCATATGTAAATAGGCACCTTTCTCTTCAAATAAGCATTACTTACATTTAGAACACTAAGGAACTAAGAATGATTTGATTTCATCTATCTTGATCTTAGTTTAATGATTAGTTCAAAAGAGGAAAAAATTCATTTGAACCTGATTCCATTTTCGACCGAGTCAGAAAGACAAAATCAAAAGCCTTTATATTTGATCCAACTCCTCAATAAAAGAAACAAAACTTATTTTTTAATTTTTAAGACTTGCTACAATTCATTTATGTCATTCAAGGAGTGGCTTATGGCCATATCATGTTCAAATACCAGTCATATGATCACCAAAGCTAAGTGACATTGTTCTAGGTATGATGATAAACTACATATGCATCCTGGGTAAGACAATAAACTCTGTCCAACAGCAAGGCCTCTGATCAGGTTTTGAGGAGCATAGAATTACCTCTTAATTGCTGGTGTCCCCAGATCCACCCTGACCTGGGGTGGTAGCATCTGTTAGGGCCTCAGCTATGGGAAAATAGTTACCCCCCCCAAAAAAAAAACTGGGGTCAAAACACTATGAAAGTGTAAAAATAGTTTTTAATACCAGAAATACTTCATAAAAAATTATTACCAGCAATACATTATTACCAGCTAAACATTTTTGAAAAAAAAATATTACCAGCAATAAAAATTGTCAGCATTAAGGTTGATATGCCGTAAAATAAACCAAACCAAGCTAAATGACGTCAGGCCTGGTCAGTATCTAGATAGTTGACTGCTTGTTAATACCAAGTGCTGTAAGCTAGGATGTGTGATTGGTATGTTGGATAATGGCTCAGAGCTGGGCTCCAATTTCCGTTGTATATCTGAGCACTTTTGGCTATATATTTAGCCTCATTCACATGTAACAAAAAAAAATTAAAAGAAATGGGAAGGGGGCTAAAAATAACGGAAGCATTATTAATAAAGACAGAAAAGGCCAACACTCAATATCAACTATGAACACGGCCACAATATGCTGACCGTGTTTGGAAAATAAAATTTGGAAATTTTTCTTGTGTTCTTATAATTTTCTTTGTCTCTGGACATAATCTATATCCAGAGACAAATTATAAGAACACAAGAAAAATTTAAAAAAAAACTTAACTGCAGTACATTGTCAATTGTTTTTAATGAAATTTATATATAATGCAGTTGAAAATTTAGTATATTTATAGGGAAGAATGCTCACTATCAGAGATTGGTTTTCAGATATTGACAGTGCGAACTTAAGAATCAACACCGCATAGTGGTTATTTCATATCTTGGTCTGAAAATTGCATTGAAATGTGAAAACTGACAGTCACCATGTATTGTGAATTCATATTTCCATGCTTGTTTTACTATATATATATATATATATATATATATATATATATATATGGTTCGACACCAGAAGTGTCGAAACAATGTGGCTATTTTTTGTAGCAATTTTATAACATATTTGTTATAATTTTCAAATAAATTATATATATATATATATATATATATATATATAATGTTTCCTTGAATAATTTTAACATGTCTACTTATTCTCAGCAGGATCCTTTCATATTCACAGATAAGCTTTTTTGTGTGATTTTTGAAAGATAAGAGGAAAATGCTGTGTTGATTCATATTTTTATTGATTATCTGAGTACTTTCGACATAGCATAATGTCATCATCAGAGTATTATTAATTATTATTAATTAGGTAAGTTGTGGTGTTCATGGTTGTGAAGGACAGAAATTGTGATCATCTGAAAATTAACTTTCTTATATGTGGAATCAAGAGTGCTGTGTCACACACACACACAATAGACTAGCAGTAGTTTACTTTCAGGTAAGTATTAAAAAGCAATAAAAGTTCTTTTAATTAATCTTTTTTATTAACTTTTGCTTGCTTCTAACAAGATGTTTGACATCAGCCTGTCCTGATGTTGGACACCTGGTAAGAAGGAAGAGAAAAGTTAATAGAAAAATATATATACTTATGTGATAAGCTTTCTTGAGGACAACTTCCTATAACCTGTCATAACTGGATTTCTTGTGTCTTCAGTCCCAAAATTAGGTTGACACTTTATTGTCCATAATAAAGACAAACAGAAGCTTCCCCCCCCACATACATACATACATATATATATATATATATATATATATACACACTCACTCAAGCACTGACAAATTTTTACAAATGGAGCTTCACTTGCCATACTTCTCCATACCAACGTTTTTCTCAGTAACTTATTGGGTACAAGAGGAAAGTAAACATAGCTTTAGTTAAGTGAATTGCAGTTTCTGCAGAAACACGCCTCATCAAGAAATAATCATTTTATTCAAATCTTGTTTTCGTATTATTATCAATTAAGCACTACAGATTTAAGAGGGGGTTCAGTTTTCTATGTAAATTCATTGTAAATTGATCCCCCTATACAAAGAAAACAAAATGCTAATATTTCATGATGAAGCATAATCTTGGGAAATTAAAAATAATTTCAAGTTAAAATAAACAAAAAGTAAATATTTAACCTTTATCACTCTGAATGTGACTTCACTTGCTGCACAACAAATTTATCCTGCCACTGAAAGTGACTCTGATCAATAGTGTGTTTGGTTTTCATAGTTGTGTTGTCATATCCTACTATGGCAACACAAAACAACTTACCAATAAGGTTACACAAATTGAGAGACCTTGAAAAAGAATGCAATGGAAAAGGTAGTTTTATTGTGCAGATTGCTAAAGGTTAAGGAATATTCTTGCTTTATTTACCTTACGTTTATATTTTTAATTTTTTGCTTTGTGCAGCAGACATCAATTTACAGTGAATTTATACCTCGAACTGAACCCCTCTTAAAATTTAGAAAATTAGGTTTTTGTTTTTTTTTTTTTTTTTTGTTTTTTTTGGGTTTTTTCCTGATCTGGAGAGCATAATTGATAGTAATATCAGGGGCAGATCCAGAATTTTCAGTTACAGGGGCATGTTTATCAGTAAAAAATGTCAATTCGAAATTTTAAACTGTGATCATATATATTAGGTTATAGAAATGAGTAGAGTGTTTTTGCACACACACACACATATATATATATATATATATATATATATATATATATATATATATATATATATATATATATATATATATATATATATAAATTTACATTTTCTTTTATTTATTTGATATGTAAATTCAAACTTTTAGATTCAAAGTGTGATTATAATCACACTTTGATTCTAAAAGTTTGTATTTACAATTTTTACATATCAATGAAATTTATGAAAGAGAATTTACTAAAGTCAATTTTTGTGCATTCTTATTTGCATAGAAGTTCATGATTTTATCGTATACTCAAACTGAATGTCTTTGTGAACATACAAAAGAACAAGTGCTTTAAATCTGTTTTTACTCATTGAGTACCACGATTTAATTTTTTTTTTTTTTATAAACTTTAAGGATGAGTTTGATCACTCATCAGGACTAACAGACACACAAATAAGTGCAAAAAGTTGAAAAACTTGCATAATATTCAGAAATATTTTGGCACAAGACACTGGAGGTTACAGAGTTTGAGAGATTGTTTCTGGTTTAAAAGCAGCTCTGCTCTACATAGTTTTCCAGGTGATAACTTCTTTGGTCACATCCAAATCAAGTCTGAACTGCTCCTGAAACTTTTTAATGGTATCATCCAGCAACTTTCAAAGGTTTGCAGGTAGAAGATTGATACATAAGACTGATTGCAGTGACATGGTTGAAAATCAATAGCTAAATTCTTGCAAAAGAGTCAAAATGGAATATAGATAGCATACTTAAAATATTTCACTGATTGTTGTGGACAAAACAATGGAATGCAAGCCCAGCACCATCCTGCCCCGGACCTGCCCCTGAATACATAAAAAAAAAAAAATGAAAAAAAATTATCATTTCTTGAAGCGATGCATTTCTGTAAAAATAGCAAAGAATTTACCGAAAATAATGTTTATTCAGTGGGTGAAAGCCCATACTTATATTTAATTTCCATTGGGTAGCAGAAAAATATTTTCTTTTTAGTTTGGTCAGTATTAATTACTGCTTTTTGCTTTTCAACAGTTGAATCCTCAGGGATTTCTCAACTTTGAGGTCCAAAAACATTTTAAAAAATTCATTATTTCTTTTTAATTGGATACATTTTATAGTTGCTTCAGTGGTTGCCATTTTAAAAATATCAAAATAATTTCTACATTAAACCAGAAAGTATAAAAGCAGGTCATAATGGTTGATCCAGGGAAGGCATTTATCAGTGCAGGTAAATTACTGATGTTAGGATTTTTTTTTTTTTTTTATTGTTTTATTTTTTTTTAAATTAAATTTTGGTTCAAATTTAAATTCACAAAAAGGAAATTCAAAAGCATTATAGCTATCCATTGAGATCCAAGTAAGCCTGTGCCATTATTTTTTTTTTTTTTTTTTTTTTTTTTTTTTTTTTTTTTTTGATACCCAGCCACATTGGAATTCATGAAGAGAAGGGCAGATAAAGGAGCCAAAAAAAATCCCAACACATCAAACATTGAAATTCCTGACAGA